GCATTCTGAGTCACAAGATGAGATAGGAGGTCAGCACAAGATACAGGTCACAAAGACCTGGCTGATAAAATAGCTTGCAGTAAAGAAGCAGGATAAAATCCACCAAAACCAAGATGGTGATGAGAGTGACTTCTGGTCATTCTCCTGCTACCCTCCCACCAGTGCCATGAGAGGTTACAAATGCCATGGCAACATCAGGATGTTACATCGTAAAGGTCTAAAAAGGAGCTATATAAATAATCCACCCTTTATTTAGCATATAATTTAAAAATAACCATAAAAATACACAACCAGCCTATGGAGAAAGCCATTTCTTTTATTTCTTTACTTTCTTAATAAATTTGCTTTCATTTTATGACTTGCCCTGAATTCTTTCTTGAGCAAGATACTAGAACCCTCTCTTGGGGTCTGAATCAAGACTTCTTTCTGGTAACATTTTCCTGGCAACTACAAAAGGACTATACTTAAGAGACCTCTGTCCCTGCCCCCATAAAATTATCTGTGGATACCAACTGGCTGACTTTGAGTCCCTATACCTAGATAAAGGATGAGATTAGGTTGGAGGCACAACTTAGGAAAGTCAGAGTCTCTTCTAAGACAGCGTGGGTTAAAGGAGCCTCTTAAAGAAGGCAAGGATGCTTGACTGTACTTGGATTCAAGGTCCAACTTAGGAAGTTTATAGTCCTTCCTAAGATTTAGGTTAGAAACCCCTCTCAGCAAAGTCCCTCTCAGCTAAGAAATGGTTTCACATTACTGGATGTTAATTGCTATTCTTTTAGATTAATCTGTCTTGCACTCTTTGCTGGTGCCTATGAGTGACAGAATTAGGCATCCATAGGACCAAGGGATACGGGGAGCTTTTTCTCCTCTAAAAGGGGAAACCTGAGAGCTGATGGGACTTCTGGAAATGATCCTTTTGCTATCAAGAAGCGGCTGCCTGAATTTGTCAAATATATTGCAGTTGTACTTTTTGTGTAGAAATGCAGGATAAACTTTCTGGATGTTTCCTATTTTTTTTTTTTTTTTTTTTTTTTTGAGATGGAGTCTCCCTGTCACCCAGACTAGAGTGCAGTGGTGCGATCTTGGCTCACTGCAACCTCTGCCTCCTGGGTTCAAGTGATTCTCCTGCCTCAGCCTCCTGAGTACCTGGGATTATAGGCACGCCCCACCACGCCTGGCTAATTTTTTGTACTTTTGGTAGAGACAGGGTTTCGTCATGTTGGCCAGACTGGTCTTGAACTCCTGACCTCAAGCGACCCGCCCGCCTCAGCCTCCCAAAGTGCTGGGATTACAGACATGAGCTACCACGCCCAACCTACCCAACCTAGATGTTTTCTTAAATTAAACACTAATTAATCTTAGAGAGAACCCCTTTTTTGAAACTCAGAGTTATGAATGGCCGTCACCATACTGATGAGTTTTGACTGAGCTCCAGTCTACCTCAAATACAAAAGACTCTAATAGTCAAGGAAGAATATCATTGCCCCTATACAGCATGAAGTAGTTACAGAAGATGGCTTTTCATCCCTCTTGTGATTAAGGGGGTTTTTTGTACAAAAGAGGGGAGAAATGTCAGAGGCGTATTGAACCAGGGCAAATCCATTTTGAATAGGGGGTGGTTAAATAGGGCTGAGACCTACTGGGCTGAATTCCCACATAGTTAGGCATTCTATGTCACAGGATAAGATAGGAGGTCAGCACAGGATACAGGTCATAAAGACCTGGCTAGCAAAACAGCTTGCAGTAAAGCAGCAGCATAAAACCCAACAAAACCAAGATGGCAATGAGTGTGACCTCTGGTCATCCTCACTGCTACGCTCCCACCAGTGCCATGACAGTTTACAAATGCCATAAAAATATCAGGAAGTTACCCTATATGGTTTAAAATTGGGATAATAATCCACCCCTTGTTTAGCCATCATGGTGAAACCCGTCTCTACTAAAAATACAAAAATAATTTAGCTGGGTGTGGTGGTGGATGGCTGTAGTCCCAGTCAGCCAGGAGGCTGAGGCAGGAGAATGGTTTGAACCTGGGAGGCAGAAGCTGCTGTGAGTAGAGATCATGCCACCGCACTCCAGCCTCACAACAGAGCAAGACTCCATCTCAAAAAAAAAAAAAGAACCATAAAATGGGCAACCAGTAGGTCTCCGGACTGCTCTGCCTATGGATTAAGCAATTCTTTTATTTCTTTACTTTCTTAATAAACTTGCTTTCATTTTACTCTATGAACTCACCCAGAATTCTTCTTTAGAGTGAAATCCAAGGACCCTCTCTTGAGGTTTGGACTGGGACCCTTTTTTGGTAAAAACTTGGCACCTTTTCTTCTTTTTCTCATTAAAAGAGTCAGCTGTATTTGTCTTCAGTGGTCTAAATAAAATTTTTCACAGACTACTGAATTTTGAGCTACCCTCAATCTGAGCCATTATACCAAGTCATTCTATATGCCTCCTAAGAACATGCTGACTTCAGGATAAAACATTCTCTGATCTGAAATCTGATTTTTAACCCCCATTTGCCATTCCCCTCCATACTTTCTAATCTTGTAGGCTCCACTCTATGAAAAAAAGCCCTTGTCTACCTAAAATTGCATTCCTTAAAGTTTTTATAATTGGTATTCCTCCTGTTGCAATCCTCTTTTTGAATTCTTTTTTTTTTTTTTTTTTGAGACGGATTCTTGCTCTATTGCCCAGGCTGGAGTGCAGTGGCATGAATCTCGGCTCACTGCAACCTCCATCTCCTGGGTTCAAGCATTTCTTCTGTCTCACCCTCCTAAGTAGCTGGAACTACAGGTGCACGTCTCCACGCCTGGATAATTTTTGTATTTTTAGTAGAGATGGGGTTTCACCATATTAGTCAGGCTGGTCTCGAACTCCTGACATCAGGTGGTATGCCCGCCTCAGCCTCACAAAGTCCTGGGATTACAGATGTGAGCTACCATGCCCGGCTCTAGAATTCAATTTTTTTTTTTTTTTGAAATGGAGCCTCACTCTGTCACCCAGTCTGGAGTGCAGTGGCATCGTGTCAGCTCACTGCAACCTCTGACTCCTGGGTTCAACCATTTCTCCTCTCTCAGCCTCCAGAATAGCTGGGATTACAGGAACCCACCACCATGCCCAGTTAATTTTTGTATTTTTAGTAGAGATGGGGTTCCACCATATTGGTCGGGCTGGTCTCAAACTCCTGACCTCAGGTGATCTGCCCACCTTGGTCTCCCAAAGTGCAGGGATTACAGGTATGAGCCACCGCGCCTGGGTCTGGAATTCAAATTTTTTAACAGAAATCTAACTTTGTAACATATTACAAAGTCTAGAAACTGCCTTAAAACAATAACAACTTCATGGTCAGTAAGACCCTCCCAGTCCCCTTTTGTCTTAACCTTAACTCATCTGCCTGTAGCTTTCCAGGATTCTGTAGCTTCTCTCAGCAGAAAGGCTTCTTCCATGACTGGAGTGAGCAGGCTGGAACACCTGCAGGAGAGGCTCTCCAGAAAAAACTAACTGGACCTTTAATAACCTCCTTTTGCAGTCTCAATATGAGCTTTAGCTCTGAGTCACTGGGCTCAAGCTTTAATTTCCATGTTAGAGTTACTCACTTGGTTTTTGAAACTAAGTGTTTGAAAAATCCAAAAAAATTACTCAAACACAGTGTTCATATAAGGGAAGAAAATTTTAAGGTGCTTACATTTTATACCTTAATAAGTAAAGCAAAAGTATTTCTTTCAGAAAATAAATGTATTATTTTATTAATTCCATTAAAAATCATGCAGCAAACATTTAGTCATGTGGAAACACTTCTAGGCAGTACCAAGTTTCATCTCATAAAATTAAGCATAAAACTCAGAAATCAAGATAACAGAATTCAAACAGAGATATTCGCTGTCAAAAATTTACCCTGAGAAAAAAAGGAACTGATGTTTTTATGAATCTATGTAACTCACCAATTATCCACCACATTTTCTTGTGGAAATGTATTCATTTTCTACAGCAAAAATGGAATAGAGATTTTTCCTCTTCTTTTTTGGTAGCATTCTAAAAGCTAAGCCTTGAAATTCTATTTGAAATCACCCAGGCATAAAAAAACCACACCTGAGAAAATCTGTAAACTCACTCTGGGAAAGAAAAAGGTAAGTGAAAATTTTTGACAGATGAAATGTATGATTAATTTTTTTTGAAACCCACATCTTTTATGCCCTTTGTAAATATTTTTCTACCTTTCAAGCCCTACTAATATAACACAAGTTACAGCTAAAAAACTGAGGTGAAAATAAGTGAACAAATCTCAAGGTGGACAAATCCAGGAATGGCAGTGCTGGTTAAATAACAGATGTGTCTGACTCATGTTTCAAGTCAGGCCATTCAATTACTGGAGAGATCCTTCCACCCACTCCTGCTCACTTATGTGCTCAAGAACCACCCATTCAGGAGACACTGCACCATTTCTCGGTGACTGTCCCAGGTGCATTTTACTTTGCAAGCTCTTACGCCATCTCACTGGAGTCAGTTTGTTGTTGTTTTTGTTGTTTGTCTTTTGGGATACTAGTTTTTGGTCACATATTTTTCACTTTTGTTTTACTTTTTCTTTTACTATATTCATTTCACTATTCTGCTCCCTTACAGAATCCAGGGGGCAGAAATCATTTCTGTGTTTTCCCCTCACTACCAGCATCTGATTGGCTGACAAGCAATTTATCTCCATGAAATGGAAGCTGGGTTGATAGAAGACAATTTATTCATTATTAGAATAATTATTATTATCACTATTATGAGACGGAGTTTCACTCTTGTTGCCCAGACTAGAGTGCAATGGCAGGATCTCGGCTCACCGCAACCTCTTCCTCCCAGGTTCAAGTGATTGTTCTGCCTCAGCAACCCTGAGTAGCTGGAAATTCAGGCATGCACCACCATGCCCAGCTAAGTTTTTTGTATTTTTAGTAGAGACGGGGTTTCCCCATGTTTGTCAAGCTGGTCCCGAAGACAATTTTAACATATCATGGGGTTACCTTTTCAAAATAAGAGTACTCCAGAAGATTCCTCTCAGCCCCAGGGTATCCACCTGCCCCCTTGACAGGATACACTCCATATCTCAGGTCGTCCTATGGGAGAAAATAAACCAGAGCCGATATCCACTAGACACTCTAGTTGACATAACCATGGCAGATATCTCAGTTTATCCCCAGATAATACTGAAACCCAGGACCAGGAAAAAACTAAATGGTGGCTGAGGACACATCACCCCATAAATTTTCCAAAGTGGAACTCTGACCCAAAAAAATTCTGATAACATCTCTGTGCCTAAAAAGATAAAAGGAAAAAACACACTGAGATTTTTTGCAATACAGTGTGAGGGGATTATCATTTGCTTTCTTTTCATGGAAAATATTTACAAAGAGATAACAAATCTTCTTAAAAGCACCATTTGTCTGGGTGTGGTGGCTCACGCCTGTAATCCCCACACTTTGGGAGGCCAAGGCGGGCAGATCACCTGAGGACAGGAGTTCGAGACCAGCCTGACCAACATGGAGAAACCCCATCTCTATTAAAAATACAAAATTAGCTGGGCATGGTGGCACATGCCTGTAATCCCAGCTACTCCAAGGCTGAGGCAGGAGAATCGCTTGAACCCGGGAGGCGGAGGTTGAGGTGAGCCGAGATCTGCCACTGCACTGCAGCCTGGGCAACAAGAGCAAAACTCCATCTCAAACAAAAAACAAACAAACAAAAAACCCCAAAAACCCCATTTATGCATGGCGCAGTGGCTCACGCCTGTAATTCCAGCACTTTGGGAGGCCAAGGCAGGTGGATCACCTGAGGTAGGGAGTTCCTGACCAGCCTGACCAACGTGGAGAAACCTTATCTCTTTTTTAAAAAATACAAAATCAGCCGGGCATAGTGGGGTATGCCTGTAATCCCAGCTACTTGGGAGGATGAGGCATGAGAACCTCTTGAACCTGGAGGTGGAGGTTGCAGTGAGCCCAGTAGGCACCTTTGCACTCCAGCCTGGGCAACAAGAGCGAAAGTCCGTCAAAAAAAAACAAAAAACAAAAAACACCATTTAATGCTTTGCCAAAAAATAATTATTTAAAATATGGTATAAAAAGTACACTACAAAATACGTGGCCAGGCGCGGTGGCTCACGCCTGTAATCCCAGCACTTTGGGAAGCCGATGCGGGCGGATCATCTGAGGTCAGGAGTTCGAGACCAGCCTGTCCAACATGGTGAAACCCCGTCTTTACAAAAAACACAAAAATTAGCAGAGTATGATGGCGCGCGCCTATAATCCCAGTTACTAGGGAGGCTGGGGCGGGAGAATTGTTTAAATCCGGGAGGCGGAGGTTACGGTGAGCAGAGATCCTGCCATTGCACTCCAGCCTGGGAGACAGAGGGAGACTCCATCTCAAAAACAAAACAAAACAAAAAACAAAAAAACACAAATATATGACAACGTGAATTAGGGAGGGAAAGCTGGCATTTGGGAACTCCAGAAGAAATTGAAAATTTAGTATCTTCCTGCAAGCCAGAATGAGGCTGGAGTAATGAGGGATGGGAGTTAGACTTAAGACCCTGCTTGGGACCAAGGTGAAAAATACAGCAGAAAATCACTTCCCTGTGGAGTGTGAAAATAAAAATTAAGTGGCAGGCAATTAGACTGACATGTCTCTAGTCCCTGAGTTCCTATTTTAATTAAAAAATGTAATTCGGGTGCATTATTTTTAATTACTACATTAAGAGAAACAAAATTCAGGCTTCACCAACTATAAACTGCCAATTGAGCTCCAATTACGTAACCAGGAAATTTTCACCTTTAATGTACAAATTAAGAAACCACATAACTGTACCTAACTAATTACTAAATTTGGTTTTCTTCATCATGCATTTTACAAAAGACTTTCTTTCAAGCCTCTCCCATAGACCACAAACTACAAACCATAGCTCGGTGCTCTACAATTCTAGAACCATTCTTTGATTAAATTATTTATTTATTTATTTATTTATTTATTTATTTTGAGGCAATCTCGCTCTTTATTTATTTATTTTGAGGCAGTCTCGCTCTGTCGCCCAGGCTGAAGTGCAGTGGCGCGATCTCGGCTCACTGCAAGCTTTGCCTCCTGGGTTCAAGCCATTTTCCTGCCTCAGTCCCCCAGGTAGCTGGGACTACAGGCGCCCGCCACCACGCCCGGCTCATTTTTTGTATTTTTAGTAGAGACGGGGATTCACGGTGTTAGCCAGTATGTTCTTGATCTCCTGACCTCGTGATCCGCCCGCCTCGGCCTTCCAAAGTGCTGGGATCACAGGCGTGAGCCACAGCGCCCGGCCTAGAACCACTCTTCGATTAAATTCTTTTAATATTTTTGCAGTGACTCCCATTAACTTTTAATAGGAGAAAATAGGAACTGGGAACCCCACGGAACAAAGTTCTTCCCATTCATGAACCAAGTCAGGATCCTCCCCTGACGACCCTCTCATAGTTCCTGCACAATCCGGTAGAGAAGCTGCGCTGCGAATGCAGAGATCCCCAGAGAGGGCTCCAGGCAAGGGCACAGTCACTATGCAGAGGAGACAGGACGCCCGGGGGCCCGGCTGTCGGCGCAACCGCCATCTTATGGCTGAAGGCGACTGAGGCCGAGCCGGGCAAGGAGAACTCGGGGCGCAGATTGTGAATCTGACTACAGGGAGGCCTGAGTCCCGCCACAGCCACTTCCCACCGGTTTCAACCAGCCCTTCCCCTCTCTCGGGATGTCGGACTCCGCACTCTCACCATTTCTAGGCTTCCGGGGGGTCCCGGCGTCCTAGCTGTGGATTCCCAATACCTGCAGGTCACAGGGCCACACAGCCTGCGCCTCTAGAAGCAGAGGACACAGCAGTGAAGACGAAACCTGGAGCTCCAGCTGCAGCTGGAGACAAAGGATCCGACAAATCCCGCCACATCCCGGAAGCCGTCCTCTCCGCTCAAGCTGCGTGCCTGATTGGACAGTACCCAGCCCAGCTTCGCTGATTGGATAGCGTTTAAAACCCCACCCCCTCAGGCCCTGACTGACAGAAGATGTAATTAGATACTGGGCTGAATGAAGGAAGAGTGACCGTCTAGGCTGCAGCCTTTTCAGGCAGGGCTTCCTCCCTGAGCTGATAGGCCCACTCCAAAGGGTATTTGCATTCAATCTTGTGTATAAGGTAATATGCATTTGTAAATAATACATCATATGACTATACATAAATGAAAAGGATATAATAACAAAGGTTAAAATTTCAGGTTTTTTACCTTCCTGGCTTATGGTCCTTTGAGCAGGCAGCCTGAGATTTTAAAAAGGAGGTAATCCTCTGAAATAAAATATGAGCCACATGTGAATTTTGAATTTTCTAGTAGCCAAACTAGAATATTAAAAAGAAACAAGGGGTCAGGCGCGGTGGCTCACGCCTGTAATCCCAGCATTTTGGGAGTACAAGGCGGGCAGCGGATCAAGAGGTCAGGAGTTTGAGACCAGCCTGGATAACATGGTGAAACCCCGTCTCTACTAAAAATACAAAAATTAGACAGACGTGGTGGCGGGCGTCTGTAATCCCAGTTACTCAGGAGGCGGAGGCAGGAGAATTGCTTGAACCCGGGAGGCGAAGGAGGTTGCAATGAGCCAAGATCGCACCACTGCACTCCAGCCTGGGCAGACAGAGCAAGACTCCGTGTCTCGGAGGGGAAGAAAATAAAGAAAAGAAACAAGAGGCCAGGCGCAGTGGCTCACACCTGTAATCCCAGCACTTTGGGAGGCCGAGGCTGGTGGATCATGAGATCAAGAGATCGAGACCCTCCTGGCCAACATGGTGAAACCTTGTCTCTACTAAAAAAAATACAAAAATTAGCTGGGTGTGGTGGTGCGCACCTGTAGTCCCAGCTACTCGGTAGACTGAGGCAGGAGAATCGCTTAAACCCGGGAAGCAGAGGTTGCAGTGAGCCAAGATGGCGCCACTGCACTCCAGCCTGGTGACAGAGACTCCGTCTCAAACAACAACAACAACAAGGAACAGGTTGAATTGATTGTAACAATGTAATTAACCTAATATATACAAAATATTTATCATTTTAATGTGTGAGGAATATGTAATTATTAATGAAGTATATAAATATTTGCAACTAAATTTTTTAAAATAACTCTGTATTTTACCTTTCTAGCATATCGCTGTTCAGACCAGGCACATTCCAGACACCCAGGAGCTACACATAGCAACTCTGATGTCAGTGGTGTGAAGGGACAGAGGCGAAGGAAGGGCCTCTCCCTACTAACATCTGTCTTCAGTTCTGAGGTTGGAACAGATAGTGGCCATAGAAGGAGCTGAGGGCAGCAGAAATAAAATAACCACAGGTAAACTACGGCTTACCACCTGTTGCCCACCTCTCTTTTAGAGATTAGGCTGTGACCATAGGATGATGGCGCTTAGGAGAAAAAAACTCTGTGTCTTCAGTTCTGCCCACACTCTTGAACTCCAATGTTTAGATACGGAGAAAATAGATTACAGGCAAACTTATTTTGCTAATTGGCCTTGACCCTAATTGCAAGGCTGTGGTTATCTGCTTTCTCTTGTGGTGTGGGAACTATGCAAATATAAACACCAATCACATGCATACATGTCTACCTGTATTTCTGCATTACCCAACATTCTCTTTCAAGACATCCTACTTTAAATTAGGGGAAGAAATCAGTACCTAGAGGCTGCCCACTGTTAGAAGGCAACAAGTAATCAACTTGTCACTAAATCCTGGCATCCTATCTGCACTGGGTGCATGTATTAGTTAGCTATTGCAGCATAACAAATCATCCAAAACTTACTAGTTTATAATTAAGATGGTCAGTCATTTAGGCTAGGCTGAGTGCGGCCATTATTCTGGTATCAGTTGAGCTCTTTCAGATTTGTATCATCAGCTGCTTGTCGACTAGCCAGCTGTACTTCTGGGGGTGATCTTCTGCTTCTGGGGCTGCCAACAGGGGCACCTTGCTTCTCCTCCCCATGGTATCTTATTTTTCAGCTGGCTAACATGGGCTTTATTCATGGAGATTGCAGCATTCTGAACGAAAAACAGAAGCATTCAAAACCATTTGTGCCTGGCCGCAAACTAGCCCACTGTCATGTTCACAAGTTTCTACTGCCCTGAGCAAATAAAGCCAGCCAGATCTAGGGTTTGGAAGACAGATTCTGGATCTTGATAGAAACAGCTGTAAAAGTACCGGACGATGGGCACAGATACAAGAGGGAAGAAAACTTGCTGCCATTTTGCAATCAGTATCAGTCCACCTTTTTTGCATATGTGGTATATAGTACTTCTCCATATCAACAAACATGTCCAAAGACCCACGAGTGCTAAGTGACTGGGCTAAGACTCAGGATCAGCTTTATCTGACACCAAAGCCCATGCACCTCCATAGGTCATGCTACTAAAGTAGCTGCCCTGCCCTAGACCCTTGAAATCCTGGAGAGTGACACTTCTACAGAATAAGTCAGATTCTTTTTAGGTTTGTGTTCATATACTACTGTTTATCACTGGAAATAATCCTCTTAAGAAATTGCAGAAGAGGCCAGGCGCAGCAGCTCATGCCTGTAATCGCTGAACTTTGGGAGGCCGAGGTGGGTGGATCATGAGGTCAGGAGTTCAAGAGCAGCCTGACCAACATGGTGAAACCCTGTCTCTACTGAAAATACAAAAATTAGCCAGGCGTGGTGGTGTGCACCTGCAATTCCAACTATTCAGGAGGCTGAGGCAGGAAAATTACTTGAACTGGGGAGGCGGAGGTTGCAGTGAGCTGAGATTGTGCCACTGCATTCCAGACTGGGCGGCAGAGCCAGACTCTGTATCAAAAAAAAAAAAAAAAAAAAAAATTGCAGAAGAACACAGAGGCTCACACCTATATTTTTAGCACTTTGGGAGGCTGAGATAGGAGAATTATGGGAGCTCAGGAGTTCCAGTGCAACCTGAGCAACATAATAAGATTTTGCTTTCATGACAAAAATGAAGAAATTAGCCAGCCATGGTGGTGCATGCCTGTAGTTGCAGCTAGTTAGGTGGCAGAGGCAGGAGGATTACTTGAGCCTGGAAGGTCCAGGCTGCAGTGAGCCATGATTGGTTACACCACTGCAAACAGAACTGGGCGATAGAGTGAGACCCTGTTTCAAGAAAAAAAAAAAAAATTGGAGAAGCATTTTGAAAAGACATGGAATAATTTTGGGAAAAAGATGAAGGATGAGTTTAGAAAATCAAAGCTGAAAAGCACATTATTTATTTTTCATCATAGAAAATATTTGAAAACTTTTAAAGGAAAAAAAAAACTTTAGGCTGGGAGCGGTGGCTCACGCCTGTAATTCCAGCACTTTGGGAGGCCAAGGCAGGTGGATGATCTGATGTCAGGAGTTGGAGACCAGCCTGGCCAACATGGTGAAACCCCATCTCTACTAAAAATACAAAAATTAGTTGGCCGGGTGTGGTGGCTCACACCTGTAATCCCAACACTTTGGGAGGCCAAGGCAGGTGGATCACTTGAGGTCAGAAGTTCAAGACCAGCCTGGCCAATATGGTGAAACCCCGTCTCTACTAAAAATACAAAAAATTGGCCAGCTGTGGTGGTGGGTTTCTGTAATCCCAGCTACTTGAGGGGCTGAGGCAGGAGAATCGCTTGAACCCAGGAGGCAGAGGTTGCAGTGGGCCAAGATCGTACCATTGCACTCCAGCCTGGGCAATAAGAGTAAGACTCCATCTCAAGGGAAAAAAAAAAAATTAGCTGAGTGTGGTGGCAGGTGCCTGAAATCCCAGCTGCTCAGGAGGCTGAGGTAGGAGAAGTGCTTGAACCCAGGAGGCAGAGGTTGTAGTGAGCCGAGATCGTGTCATTGCACTCCAGGCTGGGCAACAAGAGTGAGACTCCATCTCAAAAAAAAAGAAAAAAAAAATGCAATGAGATAGACAGTAACACATTTGTAGCAGGGGACTTCAATACTCCACTGACAACACTAGACAGATAATCAAGACAGAAAGTCAACAAAGATACAATAAACTTAAACTATACCCATTCTATCCTAGAACAAATGGACTTAACACATATTTACAGAACATTCTACCCAACAATTGCAGAATGTGTATTTTTTATCAGCACATGAAACATTCTCCAGGATACACTATATGATAGGCCACAAAACAAGTCTTAATATATTTAGGAAAATAGAAATTATGTCAAGTACTCAGATCACAGTGGAATAAAACTGGAAATCAACTATGAAAGGAACCCATAAAACTATACAAATACATGGAAATTAAACAATCTTTTCCTGAATAATCATTTACTCAACAGTGAAATCAAGATGGAAATATAAAAGCTCTTTGAGCTGAATGATAATAGTGACAAAACTTATCAAAACTTCTGGAATACAGCAAAGGCAGTGCTAAAAAGAATGTTCATAACAATGTCTATATCAAAAAGTCTGAAAGAGCTCAAATTTAAAAATCTAAGCTCATCCCTCAAGAAACTAGAGAAACAAAAACAAACCAAACCCAAACCCAGCAGAAAAAAAATAACAAACATCAGTGCAGAAATAAATGAAATTGAAACAAAAAATTTCAAAAGATAAATGAAAAAGTTTGTTCTTTGATAATATAAACAAAATTGATAGGTCATTAGCGAGATTAACCAAGAAAAGCAGAGACAAGATTCAAATAATCTCAATTTGAAACAAAACAGGATATATTACCAGCAATCCCACAGAAACACAAAAGATTATTTAAGGCTACTATGAACATTATGAAATGTACAAACTAGAAAACCTAGAAGAGGTGAATAAATTTCTGGGAATATACAATTCTCCTAGAGTAAACCAGGAAGAAATAGAAACTCTGAACAGATCAATAACAAGTAGCAAGATTGAAACAGTAATAAATAATTGCCAACAAGAAAAGACTCTGGGACCAGATGGATTCACAGCTGAATTTTATCTGCCATTTAAACAAGAATTGGTACCA